GAAGCCTGCCGGAGGTTCGGCTCAGCCGATCCAGATGTTGGATCGGCTGAGTCGAACTCCTTCTGCACTTCAGGTCAGCCGAACATGCTGAGCATGTTCGGCTGATCCGAAGCCACACGAAGCAAGCCGATGTACGGCTGATTTCAGCCGATATACGGCTGAAATCAGCCGTACCAGCCTGAAGTGAATAGCCGAACGGTGTTAGGCTCACTTCACTTCTGATCGGTCATTCACTCGGCTGCCCTCGGCAGCTTTGTGAATAGACCCCATAGTCTATGACATATTTCTGATGACTAGATCTATAACGAAAATAGATTGACATTTTAGTCGACTAACTAAAACTGGACTAAAATGTTAGGGAGAGACAATTTGGGAAGAGATCCAATCAGAATTAATCTCTTTGGACTTCCAGTTCCGGTTTCATCCTGAATGGACCGCTAATACGTCATATGTGCAGTGGCCTTACAGCCAATATAGTTTTTCATATGAATATTTTAGAGCTGCACTTCTGCTTGAAAGAATGAAGAATGTCATATGCAATTTGTTATAATCAATGCATATGTAATTACCAGTCCTTTGTTGAAAATACTCAATATTAGTTTTTCTTTATAAGACTTGGTTTAATTTAATTTTAAAATGAATAAAGACATGTTATATATCACAATAGTTAAATCTGTGTCTGTATTGCATGTTCAAACCTTAATACATAGTTACCATAAGTAATCACAGGTTAACAGATCTTTACTCCAGGAGTATATCATGAGATTACAAATTCTAGAGAAATTCTAAAATTACTCTTTAACTAAACCCACTAGTTTTTAGTCGACTAAAATGTTATGATATTTAATCGACTAAAACTAAAACAATTCCAATGACTAAAATATGCCTAAAACTTAATGGCATTTTAGTCAAAAGACTATGACTAAAACTAAATCAAAATTTGCTGTAAAGATTAACACTGGTGACCTGCGCCTCCCATAGCATCCCCTTCAATCCCTCATCCTGGCTCCAGCAGACACAAAGGCTTTGTAGTCCATGTGGCAGTGGCTGTGTCCTATGGGCCTAAGGAGATGATTTATACTTATTCTGGTGGTAAAAAAGAAAAAAATGAAAGATAAGATGGCAGTTACAGGGAAGGCAGGGGAGAGGGGCAAGGAGAGCACATTGGGCTAAAAATGTGTGCTTAAATATGGATTTTATCTTTGTAAATAGCATCAATATTAGATCTGCATTCAACAGGCTAAGCACAATAACTATGCCAAAACAGCCAAAAGACATGATTTATTAAATTTCATAGATACTCATCTGGTGGCATTGGTATTAGGGAAAACATTAGGTGAGCTATGGATCTTGTCCCAGAAAAAGAAGGCTCAGAAGAGATTCTCATCGGTCAGCAGTAACCCAGAACCGCTTGCCATTGCCAGCAGTATGATGCTACACAGCCTCCGGGGCTGTGCAGTAAGGTTTTGAAGTGTGCAGCCTGTTACACTGGCTGGCATGGGTGGTGGGAGTCTTCTCAGTAGCTAAGTGGACTGGGAAGTTGGGTTAGGGGAGGTTGTGAGTTAGTTCAACGTTTTATTTTTTTGTGACACAGGGTCACCTGTTCACACCATACATGTGTGTTCAAAAATACATTGCCTTGTAAAGAAACAGCTAGAGAACGTTTGTTTTGGCATATATCTGCACAGAACTAATGTTCATAGATATTTGCAGGAAGATCCCCTTAATCTCGTGACCCATTAATCTGGTGACCACTGTCAAAAGTTCACCACACACTATAAAAACTGATTTTACAATCTGCTTTAGATCTTCCAACAAGTATGTAGTGCAAGGACCTACTTGATTGCATATAAATTGATTGGATAGATTAGGTAGGTCCTCATATTACAAAGTTTTGTTAAATCAAAAGTTGATTGTAGAAATATTGTGTGGTCAGATTGTAATATGTGTTGTGATTATGGGGGGATTACCTAACTTTGGAGAAATTGCCTCTCACTTCCTGTTGTGTCTACAGGGCAGGGATATCTAGTGAACAGGACACAGATGGTAAAAAGAAAAAAAAACCTGATGGGGGTTTAACCATTCCCTACACTATCCAAAAAAGTTTTGACTTTACATATACTTTAATAGTTAGTTGTTGCTGTGCTTTATATTAGTTTTCCGCCCATGGAAATACATCTTTATTTGTTTTCTAGGTTCCTACATGCCTGCTTCATCATAGCTGTAATCACAACGAGACTATTGCACAATGAAGGCGAGACAATAGCGATGTCATTGGCACTCATAAGCGGATGGTGTAATGTGATATATTTTGCCCGTGGATTCAGATTACTTGGACCCTTGTGTATAATGATTCAAAAAGTAAGTAAACAAATAGAAACTAGCCATAGCCAACAGAGAGGAGCAGTCACTGTCAAATGATGTGACTGGTGAAAAGATTTTTTGCACCACAGAAAAATCCCGTGCCAATATCGGACCAAACGTGTGAAAAGTGTGCTGCAAACACTACAAGTTTTACCAAGGTGTACTCATGAAAAATATATATATCTTAAATGTGCTGCACTCACCCTACTCCTAAACCAAATAATTAAATAGATAAATAAATACTGCAATAAATAGATACATGAATTAATATAAAGATACTGTAGATATATAGCAAAACTACTTTGATAAATCACCCTCTAAGAATTTTAATGTGCTAATAATCAAAAACCCAACAAATAAACAATCAAACGTTCAAATTTGCAATGTAACCTATAGACAATCAAGTGAATTATTTCAATTCCACAGAATAATTGTAAGTTAAACCAAACGGAATGTCTAAAAGTTCACACTTAATATCCACAAAAGTGTATATATCTTCAAATTTGTGAAACATGTGAAAAAGACTTGAAATTGTGATAATATGCCGCGTGCATGCAGCTTCCAAAACACCTCTGTGAGATTCCTTTCCAGAGAGCTGCTCACCTTGTTCTTAGACCCACACCCAGGTCTAGTATCGTCTGTCCCTCTTCAGAATAACGTGCAGGGGGACTCGCAAGGCAGAAGCTTTTCCTTCCCCAGATGATATCCAATAGCAGCCAGTCCATCAGTAAAACCAAACAGAGACACACATCATGGTGCAGGGTGTATCAACTCACTTTATTAAAAATACTACTCACATAAAAACATGCAGCCAAGCAAAGTGACAGCAAAGATTCGATCCGCTTGTCCTCATGCTCAAACCCGCTGACAGGTGCCCGGTCTTCACTTCTTCCCATCAGTGCTGTAGCTCTCCCTCTGTGTTGCGCTTGAGACTCCGTCCCACTATGGGGATTTCACAGAGGTGTTTTGGAAGCTGCATGCAAGCGGAATATTATCACAATTTCAAGTCTTTTCCACATGTGTATAACAAGTTTGAAGATATATACACATTTGTGGATATTAAGTGTGAACTTTTGGACATTTCGTTTGGTTTAAATTACTATTTTTCAGTGGAATTGAAATCATCCACTTGATTGTCTATAAATAACATTGCAAATGTGAACATTCAATATTTATTGGGTATTTATTGTAGTATATGTTTATATATATTTATCTATTGTATTAGGGCCGGATTTCCCACAAGGCCAACGAGGCCCGGCCTTGGGGCAGCAGGGAGTAGAGGGGCAGTAGGAGTGTGGAATTCCTTTCTCACGACGGCCGGGACATGCAGTTCTGGGTGCCAGGTGGGTAGTTGCTCTCTACATTTTGCCCTGCTTTGGGCAAGCAGGGCTAAATGTACAGCGGGGAAGCCGCTGCTTGTTTTGTACAAGCGATCTTGGTGATGTTGGCAAGATCAGTTGTATGCAGCCTGCATACAGGGGGGTGCATTGATGAACCTGGCCTTGGGGCAGCAGAGAGAGTAAATCCGGCCCTGAACCCAAGCATTATACTATTCCTTGTAAAACAGTCCCTTAATCTGTTGTGGCTTTCAGTATATTGTCATAATGTCTATGTGTCTATAATGTCCAATATTTAAAACAAAGCACACTTATCCATTTTGCCCCCCAGTCCTGACCTAAACGATCCCACCCTCCCCCTCTGCAGATTTGTACTTACCGAGATCAGACAGATAAGGTTCAGCTATTGTTTCTATCCAGCACCGAAATACTCCCTCTGCTGGCCGCATCTGCACATTACAGCCCCATGGACTCCGCCAAGGAGATGAACTTGGACAGGAGAGGGAGACTTGCCATGCTAAACGTCAGCAAACAGTGGAAGAGTGGACCTCGAATCTCAGTAGGTATAGAATTGCAGAGGGCAAGGGTGGGATCATTCAGGTCGGGAGAGCAAAAAATAAAAGGATGCACTTTGTCTAAAAGTGTGCTTATCCTTTAGTGCTACACAGCAGTCAAACATGAACTGACATAGAAGATATGGTCTACCTGCTGTATGGTAGTAATCCTTATCCTGTCATCTCATTGTGTGCAGCTGGCTACTGGCTATATTACCTGCACTCATAAAAATAAATAGAAATTACCTAAAGTCATCCCCCAAGATTTTTTGACATAACACTGTACTGTTTTATATTGTAAATGATACAGTCTGGGAGGATGGGTAGCTGCAGAGGCTTTAGTCCAAGGGATGGCAAAATCTTGCCGTCCAGCTGTTGTGGATCTACAAATCCAGTGAAGGCATTGCAAGATTCTCACAGCCACAGACATGACACAGAGACAGATGCATCATGAGATTTGTACTTTCGGCATAGCTGGAGGTCCGGAATTTGCCCACCCCTGCTTTAGTCGGCAACGTGTACATTGACTTCAAACATGTCTGTCTATGTTCATCTCCATTACATTGTGGATTGATAGAACTAGTATAGTACACAAAAAGATAAGTGCTTTCTTTAAGCTCACAGGAAGTGACAAGGATATTTCATTTCTGGCGAGATCAACAGGTATTTTCTGTACTTACTTAAAATGTCCTTAACTCAAAAAGGGAAAACAAATGCAGATGCCACATCTAAGGACTAAAAAGCTGCAATGACATCTTTGTTGTGGTTTTTAAAAACAATGATGAATGTAACGATGAGGTTTAATTCTAAGGCAGCGGTTCTCAACCTGTGGGTCGCGACCCCTTCGGGGGGTCGAATTACAATTTGCCAGGGGTCGCCTAGCGGCTCCCGGCCGCCCGGGAGAGAAACTCTTTCTCCCGGAAAGGTTTTCTCTGCTCGAGCAGAGTAAACCTTCCTCTACTCTGTTTTTTTTTTTTCTAACATCTGGGCCACAGGCCGCCGTCAGTCAGAAAAAAAACAAAACACCATAGGAATGCATAGCTAGATTCCTATTGGCTATTTCACTTTGCAATAGCCAATAGCAAACTAGCTATTGCACCCGCCCTCTGCTGCTGCCAATCAGCAGAGGGGGGCCTGAAGTTTTCCATCAGCCGCGCCATCCCTAAATTTTACCGTTGGGGGTCACCACAAATTGGCAAATGTTACCAAGGGGTCCAGGCCCTAGAAAGGTTGAGAACCACTGTCCTAAGGAATCAAATTCACATTCTTATAACACTGGAAGTCTAGTTCAGATACAGACTAGAGCAGACTAAATAGCCATTCTCCTTCATGTGAACGAGTAACAGACAAGAACATTGCCATTTATCTTGCAGATGATAATGCATGACCTCATGAGATTCTGTGTGATCCTGTTTACCGTTCTCATTGGATTTGCAGCAGGTACAATATTGTTTTCTTGCTCAGGCTTGTTTCTCAATTGCATGGCAATTACTTATGTTGCCAGAATGATAAGTAATGTAATATTTTTACATGTTCCATTATATGTTGCTATGTAAAATGAATTTACCGAAGTGTGAAATTAAAGGAAATGGTATTGATAACAAACATGTTTTAGTCATATACTCATTAGGCTGTTTCTGTGTTTTGTATATTAAACACAAATGCTTTAGGCATATGGCCAAATTTTTGGGCTGTATGTATTAACAATTCCCAGAGCCATTTGCCCTGACTATCTCTGTGAACGTTCATTCTGTGCAAATGGAGGCAAAAGGGAACATTCTTTTCTCTCCCGTTCATTGAAGGACACAGGGCAACAGATCGTAGATCCTGAATGGTAGGGTATATCGCCACCTGCAGGAGTAGGACGCTAGGCACATAACAAAAAGACAAGACAGCCTAGGGGCGGCCCCTGCTGGTGGCCCAACCCCTCACTTGCTGACAAGTCTCCAGTTTTTTGCCTAGCGTCAGGAGTAAGGAGCTAAAATTTTTACTCTGGAGAACTTTTTTTCCTTTCTTCCGTTTGACTTGATTTTTCTTCTAGCAAGTGTCCCCAGGGCGACAGGCTGGATGACTGTAGATCCTTGTAGTCTCCCCTGGGTGACCGACGAGCGCATGCAGACTCTGCTACGGTGGGTCGGCTGCGACGGGTGGTCTTCCCCGACGCCTATGGGATTCGTCCCAGGGGGGGGCTTCTGACCGGGGGCTCCGGCCCACCGGTCGCGGATCTCCCCACAGGCTAGTAGGGGCGTGAGCCTCCATTGCCTGTCACTGCCCATTCTACTAGGGCTGTTGGGGCTTCCTGGGCTTTCCGCCATGGGGCCTCTGTTTCTCAGGTTTGTAAGGCCGCTACTTGGTCTTCTGTTAACACCTTTGTTAAGTTTTACAAGGTGGATGTTTTGGCATCGGCGGATGCTGGTTTGGGGCGCAAAGTGTTGCAGGCAGCTGTTTGAGGTGTCCTTTGGGTGTTTTGTTGTTGTTGCCCATCCCTCAGTGTGTACTGCTTGGTGACGTCCCTACCATTCAGGATCTACGATCTGTTGCCCTGTGTCCTTCAATGAACGGGAGAGAAAATAGGATTTTTGTACTCACCGTAAAATCCTTTTCTCTCCGTTCATTGAAGGACACAGGTCCCGCCCTCTATATTGGGTGTGTACTCCTAACTGCTTGTTACTTACTGGAGACTTGTCAGCAAGTGAGGGGTTGGGCCACCAGCAGGGGCCGCCCCTAGGCTGTCTTGTCTTTTTGTTATGTGCCTAGCGTCCTACTCCTGCAGGTGGCGATATACCCTACCATTCAGGATCTACGATCTGTTGCCCTGTGTCCTTTAATGAACGGAGAGAAAAGGATTTTACGGTGAGTACAAAAATCCTATTATTACATTTTCTTTTCAGGTCAAATGAAATGTAATACCACATTATGCCCACTAGTTGGAGTTGAAAAGCTAAGGAAATAAGTAGCAATGCACCGATACCAGTGTCGTTATCGGTGCCGATGCTGAGCATTTGCGTAAGTACAGAAACCAAAACCCGACACTGGTGTTTTAATTATGCAAATGAAGCAGCTGTCTTTGGTCCTGCACCTTCTTGGGAACCATGCAGTGCCTCCGTTTATAGCGCTTCAGCTGGCCCACACACATCTTCCCTTCCTGAGACAGTCTGCCCGGAGACATCAGGTTGGCACCCCAGAGCCGGAGTGGCAGCACAGAGTGCGCTATGTACAAGTGTGGTGCAGCAAACTCCCCCCCCCCACTTTTGAAATATTGCCTGCTGTTTCTGTCCTGTGCTTTATTCTGAATTGCTGTATAATGTATTACTGGGATTTGTAATCCTCTGCAGTGATGGTATTATTCTGCATTACTGTATAATGCATTGCTGGCATTTGTAGTCCTCTATAGCTGATGGTATTATTCTGCATTGCTGTATAATGTATTGCTGGGATTTGTAGTCCTCTATAGGCGGCACAATTTTGCATTGCTGTATAATGTATTGTTAAGATTTGTAGTCCACTATAGCTGATGGTATTCTGAATTGATCTATGTTTTGCTGAGATTTGTACTCCTCTATAGCTGGTGGTATTCTGCACTGCTAAATAATGTATTAGTCAGAACTGTCAGAGTCACAGCGGTCACCGCTGCGCCCAGGCCCTGACACTCCACCACTGCCCTAAAAACATTAGTCTGTATTGTTTTAGAAAAACTGTCACATGACACACAAAAAAAAGGTATCAGTAATTGGTATAGGCGAGTACTGGAGGACAAGTATTGGTACTCAGTCTGGAAAAAATGGTATTGGTGCATCCCTAGAAATGAGTAATTATTTCATATGCTCCTCTGCTCCATATAGTGGCCATACTATGGTATTACATTACATTTGACGTGAAAAGATAATATACTATTAATGTTAGTTTTTGCCTCTATTTGCACGGAACACATAGTTACAAAGATTTGCAAGGCAAATGGCTCTGCAAATTGTTTATAAATACACCCCTTTGTAAAAGGTTGATTTAGTTAATCCATCCAGGGATGCTACCTGCATGCATTTTTTTATGTGGGTGTGTCCCTCTTTGGGAGAAAAACACACTTGTACTTTTTTTACATACTTCCTGTCATGATTAGAGGATGAAGGACAGGAAGTTATAGGCACTTTCTCTATAAAGGGCAGAGAAAGGAACCAAAATTTCTGTGTGAAGTTATTGCTTTCTGGGTTTTTCTGTGCTGCTGACCCTCAGTTCCCTCGTTATTTGTCCTTGTGTCAGAGATATACACTGCCTGGCCAAAAAAGAAAAAAGTGACACCACCTGGTGGTGGATAATTAGTCTAGGTTCAGCAATGTTATGTGTTATTCCAAATTTATTCCAAAAAATGAGGCCAGCTTGATTTTTGTCTTCCCTGATGGCACAGGCATATTCCAAAATGACAATGCCAGGATTCACCCGGCTCAAATTGTGAAAGAGTGGTTCAGGGAGCATGAGACATCCCTTTCCCACGTGAATTGGCCACCACATAGTCTAGAACTTAACCCCATTGAGAATCTTTGGGATGTGCTGGAAAAGACTTTACTTAGTGGTCTGACTCTCCCATCATCACTACAAGATCTTGGCGAAAATGAATGCAACTCTGGATGGAAATAAATGTTGTGAGACATAAACAAAGCTAAAGATGGTCCAACAAAATGTTAGAGTGTGTGACTTTTTTTGGGCCTGGCAGTGTAAATGAGGGAAAACGTACCCCATGGAGTACCAGACTGCCAAAGGTTTCAAACCTTCGCTCTATCCAAAACTAAAAGATACAATTTCTTTGAGCATGTATTGGAGTATGATGGAAGAGAGATGATTTAAATGATGCTATGTTCTCTGTGAAGCCTTGCATAATATCAGCACCATAGAAATATGACAACTAATAATAAATACCTGTTCAATTCATAAAACTTGCATCTTTTATTAGAAAATATAAAAAGGACAACATATATTTTCTTTTCCAGCTATGAATGTCCACTTTCAAGCCATGAATGTTACTGTTTTTCCAGCATTCAGAGATTTCTCCATCACCCTCTTTACTTTGCTGCAGTTAATGATGGGTTTGGACAACTTACCGGTTCCACCAAATGTAACAATGCCAAAGATCATCAGCACTCTCTACCTGGTTTACATGTTTTTTGCCTTTGTTTTGCTCTTGAACCTTTTAATTGCACTGATGACAGACACTCATTTCCGTGTCAATAGTGAGCGCACTAGATTATGGCATGCACAGGTAAATATTATGGGGATTATTACTGTAAACCTTTCCTTACAATACTTTACAACAACGGTGTCTAAGAAATTAAAGGTATGCATGTAAAATTGCAAGGTCCACTTATATTGTTAGGCTCATCTATAAACAATTGGAACAAAATAAAATAGAAAACACATGTAAAGAAAAGTTAAATAATATGCTTAACTGACCATCAGGGATTTCCCTATATTATTTATAGAGATTTCCTCTCGCTTCCTGTTGTGGCTTTTGGACCGGAAGTGAAGAGAAATCTCCCCAATGAGAAACAAAAGCACTTACTCTATAAAAAAAAAAAAATATGGCTTAATTTCTACTTTAAAAAGCAGCAGTTTGTGCAAGACTACTAAACACATACAGAACTGATGTAGGTAAAAAAAAAAAAACAATCCACTGCTGGTCAGTGATATACTTAGCAATGAAAATTTAAATAATGTGATTTATGTGAAACATGTTTTATATTGTGTGATATTTCAGTCTGCAGAGAGGATGATTGTTGTCTTTCAAGGCATTACCGACAGGAAGTCTACCATTTACTGGAACCTCTATCCCCAGTGTGAGGATGGTATTCCAAACTTAGATCCTAATTGAAGTTAGGGTTGTCAGCTGGCCCTTACCGGGAAGGATAGCTCTCTACCCTGCTTAATTTTTTAGACAATTAAATAAAGACTACTTAGCTTTTGTATACACTAACTACAGATTTATTTACAGTGTATTATGTATGCTACTACTAGTGCATTTATGTAAACCAATTGTTTAAGGTTCATCTTTTAAAGGAGAACTATGGGGTCAGTGTTTTTCCCCATAGTTCCCCTTGGGGTAACGGGAGGACATAAACTAGCGTCCTCCCGTTACCCTAAGCTCAGTATACCGCGAGCTACAGCTCGCGGTATACTGAGACGCCACACCTGGAGCGGATCCCGACTTAGATGACGGGATCCACCCAGCTGCGTGAGTGACAGCTGGCTCTGCCTATCTAGAGGCAGAGCCAGCTGTACCCGCCCCCTCCCGCGTCCGTTCCGCCAGTCAGCGCTGGCAGATCGGAGCGGGGAGAGGGGAATCCAGCCCCTCCCCCTGTCACGGCAGAGAGCCGTGACAGGATCGAGAGGTGAGGGAACCCGGTATGTGTTCCCTCACCTCCCGATCTACTGAGCCGACCTGTGACAGTCTCATTGTCACAGGTCGGCTTAGAACTATGAGGTGAGTGGAAATCACTCATGTCATAGTTCTCCTTTAAGGCTTGAGTCGCTATTGAACATCTTAAGCCTTGTGCCTACGGTTAATGCTTGCAGATTCTAAAAAGCATGCAATGCTTGTTGACAGACAAATTTCTAAAGGATGCATGATATAAAAGCTGTAGGGTTCTTTATAGCGCAATCACAGTTACAGCAAAGGGGTACTGCACGTTTCAAAAAAATACAGCGTGGCCAAAAAAAGTAGTCACCACCTTGATTTTGTACAAAATTAGGACCCGGAATTGTTTCAGTTGGTCAGGTCTAAGTTCAGCAATGTTATGTGCCCAAAAAATGAAGTCAGCTGCCTACCTGAATATACTGAATGACCAGGTTTTTCCATCAATGAATTTTTTCTTCCCTGATGGCACAATGGACATATTCCAAGATGACAATGCCAGGATTCATCAGGCTCAAATTGTGAAAGAGTGGTTCAGGGAGCACAATACATAATTTTCACACATAGATTGGCCACCACAGAGTCCAGACCTTAACCCCATTAAGAATCTTTGTGATGGGCTGGAGAAGACTTCACGTTGTAGTCCGACTCTGCAATCATCACTACAAGATCTTGGCGAAAAAATGAATGCACCTCTGGATGGAAATAAATGTTATGACATTGCATGAGCTTATCAAAACGATGCCACGGCGAATGAGTGCCGTAATCAAAACTAAATTCACTCTGACAAAACATTAGTGTGTGTAACATTTTTTGGTCAGGCAGTGTATTTGACTGAATTAATGAACAGAATGACCAGATACACTGCCCTGGTTCTTGCATCACAGACCTTTTATTTTTACCATTTTAACATCTTCTTTCATTAGAAATTCCCTTTTATACTAGATCTAGGCTGTAATATTAGCCTGTGCACCTTGTGTGCTTAGAAGACAGGACTCTAAGATTAGTTACCTTATCTATACAGGGTTGCTATACTCCAAATGTACGTTATGAAGGCGAGACTTAGCACTAGCACCTGCAGATTGTGTCTGAACGTTCACAATGCTCTAGTGTAATGCTTTCTTTAGCTAGCACTGGTCAAAGGTTTATTGAGAAAGGTCATAATATTCTGCTGTGAAACATATAAAACAAAGCCAATGATTGTCCAATTTTAGAAGTGTGTCTAGTGGATGAATCAGGTTTTAGTGAATGTCTGGCACTATAAGTGCAGGTTAACTAGAAGTACTAAGTGACACAATTAATATTCATATACAGACTTCTGCAAATTATTAAACATAATACAGAATTGTGGTTTTTATAGAGTGTTTTCGATTCAATATATTAAAGCGGATCTTTACCCCCTTTCATTAAAAATGACAGCAGCATACAGCTCTGCATGCTGATTTAAAATTATCTTACATTCATTAAACAAGCATGTTTTTTATTTCCTTACAAATAGAGTTCATCTACTTCCTGGTCCAGTTCTGGCACAAATGATGTAATGTGCCAAAGTATTGCATCCTGGGAAGGTTACATCAGCAGAACATTGCTGGGAAATCTCATCTGTAATCTCACAAGATCTCAGGGAAAGGCATTTTCCTCCCCTGAGAGGATATGCATGGTCACATGTCCTGGTCACATGTGCCAGAGTTCCAGGAAGTAAATAGAGATCTAGTAATCTGCCCTTAGTTAACATGGCCAATGCCAGAAGACTGGAAGTGAAAAGAGGAATAAGGTATGCAAAGAATACGAAGCCTGCAATTATCTAGAAGTATGTGTTTGTAGATTGACATTACTAAACATTTATAAAGGTGTGTTTGTCATTATTTTAAAGATATGGGTAAAGGTCAGCGTTTTAAGCAAAGATGACTGGATATTTAAGAATATTTTTGACAGTATGCTTTTTATATGTAGGTTGCAGCTACGACAGTCATGTTAGAAAGAATTGTCCCCAGTAGGCTATGGGCAAGAACTGGAATACCTGGAGAAAAGATAGGTCTGGAGCCAGGAAAGTGGTACTTCAGGTAACAGAGCATCTTGTTAAACCATGTCAATATGATCAGAAAATCCACATTGTAAACCTAAAGATGGTAATTTACCAGTCATTTAGCCTGGGTGGGGAGTCCCCCATAAAAGCTGTTTAGTGTGGCAGGGGGAAACCAGGAAAAATAATTGTTTTCCCATCTACAGTATGCATGAGAGAATCCCCCAGGCTGGGCTATTGTATTCTGACAGCAGCAGGAGTCCAGTTGCCAGAATACCCAAACAATGGCTGCAGCTGATTGCCTGTAGTTATTATTCAGCCCAGAATTTTCAAACCAGTTCCTTTGCCACAAGTCGATTGAAAAATCACCTTTTGTCGAACAGGGGGTCCCTGAGGGGGCCACACACTGGTCGAATTTTATCAGCTACACCATCTTCCTGACAGTGACAACAGTGGACCATGTCTGTGCAATATGTGTCAGCGTGGCTATTTGTAGTCTTCAGCAGAGAAGCATGTGACAGGTTGAAAACACACAACCATGGTCGCCACACCATAACAGGAAGTGTCTGAACAAGGACCTTCATGGCAGGATCACCACATATTCTTTTAATGAAAGCTGCATTTTTAGAACTTTACGTTACATTAATGTTAGAATGTGTATGAGATTTAGGAGACTGGGTTTACAGCTATTTAAATATAGTAAACATACCTAAAAACAATAAAAATAAACAATGACAACACTTTGGGAAAGTTAATTTTAAAAAAAGGTACGGTTGCAGTAACCAATCACAGTTCATCTTCATTCTCAGAAAACCGAGTGGATAGTCTGAATGGTTATTTGCTATTGGCAACAGCTCCATTTTGGTTCCAGTTTCAGTAATTTGCCCCTATGATCAATGTGGCACCACCGTGTCCCCTCCACACTGGGAAGCCAGGTTGCTGCATCAATCGGGGGGAGGGGGACCATCAGCTTGATGTCCAGATGGACCAAAATAAAGAGGTAATGCTGTGTGGCTTGTTTTGAACACTGGAACAAAGTGAGGCTGCTGACCACAGAAACCATATTCTTTATTCCGCAAGAAAGATAAAATGTGACTTTTCAGAAATGAGCCTCTTTAAAGTTAAATATACTCCTATTTTGACAGGCCAGAACTGCATGGCTGCAAAGGGAAATTACTCACTGGCTTATATAACGTTTCTATTTCTGACAAACCACTTGCACAAATAGCAGTTCCATGCTTTGCAGTCAGCCCCTTATTAAAAGGACAGATATTCCTAATTTTGGGTTTTATACTTTTCCATATAAATACATTCCCGGGAACATTACCGTGACATGTCCAGCTCTGCAAAGAAGACATTCCTATACCTTGACCACTCTAGTATTCTAATGTAATCGGCAAAACATAGACAGCTCTAGCACCATTCTTTGCTAGGAATCATCATAAATGACTGTTGACTGAATAGTAGGAATCATTCACTACACAGGCACTTGTTAAATATTTACTTAGAGTTTTATCAAGAAGGTGCGGCACCCTTTGTGCGTCACAATCACAATGTCATGCTCTTGCTCATTTATTTACCGTGCTATGAAAGCTAGAACCATACACAAGAGACAGGAGGCCTAACCAAGGATGTCATATTTTCAATTGTTCTAGTAGAGTGGCTTTAAAAGGGACTCATCTTCAGTGGAAAACAATCGTTAAAAAAAACCTTTAGCATACATGTACGGGCTATAATACCACACCCCCGCTAGTATAAAGTGAAGAGAATAGCAAGATGATTGGGGCTTTTAAGGTATATTATATCATTCAAGTCCAGACTAAAAAAAAAAAAAAAGGTAAAAATACAATCTTTATTGTTTTATAGAAGTAAAACCTTGTATAAAAACTAATACAAATCATCCCTCAGCTGCAATAAAGCATACTCCAATGAGTACCTCAAAATTATACCTTATTCAAAGAACTCATATCAAAATTTGAATAGTCACACGTAAGTCGAGGTCTCAAATTCGCGTTTCCCTCCCAACTGTAGGGGAGCGTCTTCAGGAGAGAGTTGCTCTACAATTATCAATATATACATATAAGCAAGAGTACATGGTTTTACAATTACTCATTTCTAATAAATATGTGCATGCCGTTTTTTGTTATTGCGGGTATTCCTAAAGTTCGGAAATGGGGATATATAGGCCTAAAGAATATGATTTTAAATCTTGAATACTTCCACAATCCCTCCCCTTTTTTTTGGGACTGATATCCATTTTGGAGACTAATAATTTGATAATTCTTTGTTTATTCATATACATTTCAGGTACATACCTTGCTGAGGTGAGCTCCCTTAGACAAGCTTCATCTGGGTGACGTTTTTCTTATTTAAACGTCCCTCCCTATCTTTTCGGCCATGTGAGTTGGCAAGATCATAATTATCAATTGTAATTATGTAGAACATTTGAGACCTCGATTTACATGTGAATATTCAATAAAATACAAATGAGATGTTTTATATGTACCAGAGTTCTTTGACTATGGTATAATATCAAGGTTCCCGTTGGAGTATGCTTTAATGCAGCTGGGGGATGATCTGTATTGATTTTTATACAAGATTTTACTTCTGTGTAACAAAGATTGTATTTTTACCTTTTTATATTAGTCTGGACTTGAGTGATGTAATATACCTTCAAAGCTAAAAGATATGTGGGCCTTCAATTTGTAAATGTAAGATTATATAATAAAAATAATGTGTTTCTCCCTAGCATTGAAGGAAAAAAAGATACATCTTCGACTGAAGAAAAAGAGAACACAAATACATTTTGGAGATTATGAAAAGACGTCATCCTTCATTATGTCGCCAAAGGTTTCCAATTTCAGAATGGTAAAATGAGAAAACTGGGATTGGCAGCATAAATATTTTAAGGCCCAAACATGCAACCATTTGACGGTGGTCACAGTCAATTTCCTTCTGATCCATTTGACTCGAATTATATATATTTAAAAATGTCCTTATCATGCCCCATGAATGAGCAGCTCTTACTGCACGGAAACGGGATACTGTTTTGGCAAAAGCAGGTTTCAGTAACATACTAGATCTTTGCTTTGTTCAAAAGGACACTATAGAAGAGGAGTCTATATCACTCTGCACGTGCTCCCACACTGGCACCCAAGACCAAACTCACGTTCATGGGTCATCTACTGCAACCTACCTAAACGGGCTTACTAACTTGTTCATTTCCAAAAGACTATCCTTACTGTTTATTTAATTTTTTTATAAAGTCTGCCTGACTATTGCATTGATCATCTCCCACACATGCACAGTATCATGGTCTTTTTTACATGTCTATTACATTCTGTGCTGACTTACTGTATGTTTTATAACCATTGTAAATAAAGAATATATCTGTGTGTGTATCAATTGCACTGAACCTGGATGGGAACATGGCATGAATATATATACTTGCTTGGATAAGTAAAACTTGGTCAAGATCTCACAAATTCTGTTGAATTAGAGTGTACACTTTTTTTTTTTTTTTTAGTTTTCGACGGATTGATTACAACGCTTTTTGCTTCCGAAGACTTCAGTGGGAACTCTGTAGGACAAAACGTGCAAAAACGCTTGCAAAGTGCATTTCCTGGCGATTCCCATTGAAGTCTGTAGGACCAAAAAGCGCTGTAACCTGCCGAAAAATAGCCAATATACTTTTTCCAGTGACAACCATTTTTCTGCTTGCAACAAAATGTTCATTTGTGAACAGGGGACACAGAAATGAATGGGATACCTTGTCTTGAACATTGCTCTTAGTTTTGAGTGATAAAACGCCTAGGTGGTGGAGCAGTGGCTACTTCATAACACACACAGGGACCATGTGACACAAAATTAGTCACCCGCCAGAAGGAACGACACTGTCAGCATGAATTCAGAGATGATTTGAGGATCTACATCCGAGTGATACACAAATAAGCTAAAAAAAAATTTCATTGTAATTAATTTTTAAGCTTTAACTTCTGAGTTTAATGTACCTTTAATATTTTTTTTTCTTCATTTGAAAGGCAAAGTCTAAATCTGTCAAAATGTAATGAAATAATGAAAATACAACAATCTTAATATTTCCAAAACACCAACTTTATAGCACAACAAAAACACAAATATTGCACTCACTTGACCCCTGACTTTGACATATAATAAAATCAGATGCCATACACTGATGCTCCAAATTAAAAATATATTTTCACATGTATACAATTTTATTTGGCAGGCAGTCACAAGATCCACAGAAAAAAATCAAAGAAATGTAATACTGTAGGCGATATGCCTATATGAAGGGCTTCCATGTGCCTATGTATCCCCAGGACTATTCCAGTGTTCTCACCAGGAATATGTAACTGAAATGACTCGGACTCGCTCTTTCATACAAACTTGAGCAAAGAAAAGATAAATTGTCTTGCTCATGGCAACTAATCCTTCATTTTCTAATCTGCACTAGAAGAAAAAAAAATACTCCCATGCAACCTGACTCGCTGCCAAGACCCACATTTTTATTTGTGCTGAATGTTATAAATGAGCTCCAAAAAGCACACAGACTACAAGATATAGTAATGCCAGGGTCCTACAACTGGATTACTTCATGGGGCAGTCTGTAAAAACTCTAGCAGATCTCCTGGTTCTCCATTTCAAAAATAATGGAAGCCCCACTTGTAGTTTACTTACCGTGTAAAACAAAAATGGTGGAAGAAGTTTAAACATGAAAAAATAAAGAACAAATTATACAACAAACATCAATGATATCATTAGGAAACAATGTGCTTATATATTATTTCCCGAGTGTGTATATAAAGAACTAAAGCTCTTCAGAATCGTGGCCTCCAGAATTCAATGCCTCTGGATGCATGACTCTTCCCATGAATAAGACACAGCCTAAAATAGAAGCAAAACCAGATTATAACGGATTTATAGGGTATGTCTTATTTCGATTTGTAAAAATGTGTCAAGCAGAAGCTGAAAAGTGATGATAAACATGCTAAACGGCTTCTGGAAAGAACGTTACATAACAGGA